TGCAAATGCTGTTAAATGATGACTGCATTACTCTTCTTTGGGGAGGAACAGATTCAACAATTCAACATAATGTACATTTTTAGTGCTGAGATATATCAATAATAAATTTGAAATTGAAAATCATACATATATTGAACTACATCTTGAATTTCATAGATAATAATTTTATTATAGTAGACAAAATTGCAAACTTCTGATAGCTCAGATATTTTGTTTCTACTTATGTGAAAGGGGATGAGTATTTTCTAACATGGGTAAGGTAACCAAACAAATGCAAGTTATCCATGTTGTATCCAATCCTGCAGAAATTACACAGTTATGTTCTCTTACATGTGGACTGACCAATTTTGAGTAGCTGGAAAAAATGATACTAAAATGATACATGGAGTTTAAACCAAGTGAAATTACCTGACCGTTACTAAGGTTGCCGGAAAGCAGGAAGACAAAGGATACAAACTGAATTTCACCATTTCCTCTCCTTCATTTCTAATTTATAGGGGATATTTCTTGTTTCTTGGGTAGAACATCACCATTACACTACTCTGCCCTTTGGGAGTGACGGTGAGGGGTGGAGTGGAAATACAATGTTCTAAATAGAACATGATCGACATCTAGTGGCCACAGGCAAGGCGTCTGTGTGACTTTTCTTGGCCAGCGACAAATGATGTAGCAAAAAAGGGATCTTTGGAGGAGAAAAACTCCAAACTCCTGCATGGCTTTCTTCTCCCTCATCCAAGTTTGACCCAATTTTGCCACTGTCTGCTTATTCCTGCAAACAAGGGGCATTCAGCAAATGCAACTAAATAACATGAACTTAATCATGTTGTGCTCTATCTTTAAGCTTTACGAAATGCCAAAGAATATAAGAAATGAGTGGTCATTAAAAAAAAAAAGTTGAATCCAATCAAGTGTTTATATTATGAACAAAGAACAACACAGGACATTCCTGCTTTCTTTTAAATTAACCTATTATTCTCCCCCATAAGTGTCTGCCCAGAAGATGTAAAAAAAAAAAAAAAAAAATCCCAGTCGGAACTGGATTTTTCCAGAATACCATTTTCCAGAATAGTCCTTGGTAGCCACTTCTGCCTGAAGGAAAGAGAAGGGAGTAGGGATTGTCAGGGAGGATCTTGACAATGTCTCCCCCAACCCCCAACTTCTGATCTAGTAAACAACAAAATGAAAACACCCACAAGGAGAATTATTTCAGAAATTAAGGAGGTAATATGTGTTCTCCTCATTGGTACTAGGCATCTTATGCAATAGCACAAACACATGTTAAAAGATCCCAGGAATTTTTGTTGGTTTGTTTTTGTGACACAGGACAGGTTGTTTGTATCTATGAATATGTGTTATTCGTGTGTGGGTGTGTCTGTTGGAGGACAGCCTACGGATTCATGGCAGAGTCACCCGATGGACCTGGACAAAGAAGTCTATTATCACAAAGGCCTTCTTGGGTCAGGGAGTTACAGTAGCTGTTGTGTTTCCATAGCAACCTGTGGATGGGCTCAGCCAGGAAGGAACAGAGGCCCCATGCATAAATGACAGAACGATGACAGTAGTGTCTGGACTAAAGGAAGCCCAGGGTGAGATAAAAGTGTTGGAAAAAGAAATGCTTACATGCCATGCATCACAGATTCTATTTTAAAATTGATACTGCGTATTTCTAAGTAAGTAAGTCAAGTTCACAAGGTCAACAGAGGCAATTGGCAAATAATTGTTTATCTGATCCTAACATTTAGGAATGAAAACATAATGTCTTGGGGAGAATTTATGGCTTAAACTTCAAAGAGAAAATGGAATAAATGATGTTGGGGAAGCAGATTTGCTCAGACTGCCCCTATGGAGATAATGCTGTATCATTTGGTCCAAACGAGGTGGTTATTTTTGATGTGTTTTCATGTCTCCTTCATCCATGAAGCTTCTTCAGATGAGGTAGGAAAAATGGACGTTTTAAAATCCTGTGCTCAGTTTCCTCAGTGGCTTATCTAAGATGTCTGAGTTCGTTAGATTAAAAAATCGGGGTGTCTGGGTGGCGCAGTCAGTTAAGCGTCTGACTCTTGACTTTGGCTTAGGTCATGATCTCGGGGTCGTGAGATCGAGCCCCATGTTGGGCTCCCCATTCAGCAAGGAGTCTGCTTGAGCTTCTCTCTCTCCTTCTGGCCCTCACCCTAGACACGTGCTCTTTTTCTCTCTCTAAAATAAGTGCGTAAATCTTAAAAAAATAACATTCTGAATAAGGAAATAAAAAGTCTGGAATTTAAACAAATTAAAAATGGATGTCCACCCCTCTGTTCATGGTGACATCCTCAGTGTGTGTCTCCTCAGCACTATGAACTCCCAGGAGCAGGCACTACGGAGAAGATGCCACAGAGCCAGGAACAACGAAGGCCCTTCAGTTACCTTGACGGGTGTGTTCAGCTCCCTGGAAGAAGTAACCAGAGCAGAGGTGTGCTGGAGCTGGCCCCGGTCAGCTCACATGGCCACATTCCTACCCCAGGGTCCTGGGGACATCTCTATCTCTTGGGGAGCTGTCCACTAATCCTGATAAAGATGAGAATAAGTAATAATGAACATCTAGACATCTCATCACCTTCTGCAAAGTCGTTTTCACATCTACTTGTTAAAAGCAAGTGTTATTCTTGCCCCTGCAGTGGACAGAAGCTGAGCCTTAGGGAGAACACAAAAATTCTTTAAGGTCAAATGGTGGGTGGTCAGTGGTGCTCCTGTCTGGGTCTTCTGACAACAAAGTCCCAGGTGATATTAGCTGTAGGGTCTTTCTCCTTCCAGACATACTTACAGTTTATTTATTTTTTATTTTTTAAAAATATTTTATTTATTTATTTGACAGATAGTGATCACAAGTAGGCAGAGAGGCAGGCAGATGGGGGTGTGGCGAGCAGGCTCCCTACTGAGCAGAGAGCCCTATGTGGGGCTCGATCCCAGGACCCTGAGACCATGACCTGAGCTGAAGGCAGAGGCTTAACCCACTGAGCCGCCCAGGCACCCCCATACTTACAGTTTAATGGAGGATTGTAATTAGGAACGAAAAAAGCTTCTCAGAACTGAAAGCTTAACTTCCCACTGTCAGAACTGTAGAAAACTTTAGATCATATCTAGGGTGCTTTGCCCTAAAATCTGGACAGCATCCTTCCACTGTGGGTCCTCCAAGACTGGCTTTGCTCGGGCGGGATGGATACACTGCTCAAAGATTTTGGCGGCCTGGTTCCTTTTTAACCTATCATACAACATTCCAAATCATTGATTCTTTAACCATTATTAAGAGTGCTATGAATTTGTGTTTGCCACGTCTCTTTATATAACCAGCTGAGGTAAAGTCCTAACCAGCTCTCTGTAACAGATGAGCTTAGTTACTATCCATACGATTTATTATATTTCCAGAAGCGTTCATTAATAAAATAACCCCTTTAATAAAATAAAATTAAATAAAGCATTCATTAATAGAAGAATCCTCCTTATCCTGATCTAAGTCCAATGGCTCTCCTGAACAATTCTTCATGCATGTAGACCTTTTGCATCTCTAAAGAAAGAAATGGTAGAAATGTTAAAACAAATAAACATAAAGGAGGAAAAGCAACTCTGGAGGGAAGTGATTTGGGAGTTCAAGCCTGGCTTTGTTTCCAACTAACTGTGTGATCTTGGACAAGACACTCAATCAACATCAGAGTTTCTAGATATGGGCAAAATTGTTTTTGGAACTCTTAGTTTTATAAGCATTCAACTTATAGGTTGCCAATAATTTATCAATAATTAATCAAACAGCTAAACTATTTTAATTACTCTTCATTTTAATGGTGTATATTTAGCTTTTAAGCATATGTAGATGTATCTGTGTGACCAGACAGAATCTATTAATTCTCCAGAAACTTTATGATCAGAAAAATACAAAGAACAGAGAATACACAAGTGACCTCAAGTGAGGTGGTTTTCTTTTGTGTACCTGAACCATCACAGAAAACCTTAATAGAAAATGTAGTCCATTTGTGTACTCACTGATTTTACTATTGAAAAGACAGTCTTTCTTGTTCCCAGGATGTTTGTTTTCTAAGGTGAGGGCACTAAATGGGACCAAGACATTTGTTATCAGATCATTTTGTAAGGAGGGGGAGAGGGACCAGAGAGGAAACAGGAAAGAGAAAGAACGAGAGAAGGAGTAGTGTAGGATTAAAAAAAAAAAAAATCCTTAAAAATCTGGAAAAATACTTTGGTTCATAAAAAGTTTGCTTAAGGAATACCTACCTAAAACTAGGCAGGGTAATTTCCACAACAAGAAAACATGAACAAAAAAGAATATATTTTATCAAGATTCTCTAAATATTCTAAGTCCAAAAAGAGTCCCTGACTGTAAGATTTAAAGGAATAAGTGCCTTTGGTGTCTATATCTTTTTGTGTAGACATTAACTTTCTAGTAATTTCAGCTATGTTGTACTCAAATGTAAATTTTTTTAAAATTATGATTTTAAGGAAATGAAGAAGACTTCTGAGCAGCCGCAAGAGTGTACACATAGCCCATAGCTTTATATTACGGAAGAGGCCTTCAGACTCCTATTTGCTTTTCTTTCGTAAAAAGTCTTACAAGCTCAATGACTAGGTTTCCAAACTGACATAAGCTTCATAAGGCTTCATGAGACCATTTCTTTTATAACCCCAGTACTTAACACAAAGCCTAGTACATAGAAGGACTCAATAAGTATTTGTTACCTAATGAGAAGATTAGAAGCAGTATTTAGTAGTTGGGGTTGCTGGAGACAGTTACATACAGTTGGGAAAAGTGATAGTTGGTGGTCTGAAATCTATTGAAAGAGTGACAAAAATCATGAAAACTGGACACAAAGCTCACTGAATTAAGGGCACAGATTTCCATACATCTAATAACCTCTGAAATGTTACAGCATAGATAAAACAAAACAAAACAAACCAATTGCTATTGATAATAATGATCTTGAGTCACTAAAATACTATTGAATTTTTTAATATTATTGAATTTTATTCAATATTCAATTTAATAAAAGGGAGCCATACAGTACACTTCCAAAAGATTTCCACTGAAGAGGATTAAAATATTCAATTGGAACACTTTGTCCCCTCCCATGCTTAATTTCCTTTTCAAAATGTAACCTTGATGTTATGATACTGTGTACCTTAAAAAAAGTCTTTGCTTCTATTCCAGGATTTCTAATTCCATGGTGTCTCTTGTAGACATAGAAAGTATGTTTTTTCTTTGTGCTTTTGGGTTATTAAGCTTCCCAGTACAGAATTTTAATATACTCCACATATCAGATCTTCCCGTTTCAGTGACAAAACAGTACAGAATGGGATCTGCAACACAGTTTAAACTTGTTAATGCAACCGTGATTCTGTACATTTTGTAAGTCTGCTTCCCAGACTTGTGGTTAAAGGTAAGTTTACCGAAGCTCCCATCGCGTTCTAAGATGCTGCGAATCAGCAGCATCACATGAAAGGGAGTAAAACACAAGACAAAAGTCAATGTGATGCTAACAAGAAGTTTTATTATTCTCTTCTTTTCACTGTTTTCAGTGGCTTGGTTATGCTGCACGGCTTGGTAGACCTTCTGGTTGCAAATCATGATGATGACCAAGGGTATTGCATAGCCTGTACACGTCCTAAAGAAGTTGAAGCAGATTTGCCACTTCTCCAGGGGGTACTTGTCATAGCACAAAGTAAAATTGGACTTTTTGGCATCACAATATTCTATAGTGGTTTCATCTTCCCACAGAATGATACCATTGAACAAGGTTTCCAATACCCAGATGGATAGGCTGACCATGAAGGCAAATCTTCTTGTCCTTAGAAAAGAAAACCTCAAAGGGTAGACCACTGCTAAGTACCGATCAACGGCGATGCAGGTGAGGAAGGCCGTGCTGCTGTAGAAGTTCATGTACATGAAGAAAGCGCTCCCCTTGCACAAGGCAGGAGAAAAGGTCCAGTTGTCATTATTCCAAGTGTAATCAATCCATAGAGGGAGAGTTAATGTGTAGAGCAGATCTGAGAGTGATAAACTGAAGAGGTAAATTCCTAGCTCATTCTCCTTCTTTGCTTGCAGAAAAGACACACATAGAGATCCGATGTTGGCTGGGATGCTGACTATGACCACAAAGATGTAAACAATTGGAAACAGATAGTGATCGAGGTCGTGCTGTTCTTCAATACACGTGCTGTTCATTTTCTCGTATTAAGGTGGCAATTGCATTTGTTCTTAGAAGGTACGCAGCAAGATAAGTCTTGCCTCCTTCCAGTTTGCTTTCAGCATCTCCTTCTTTTTTACGAATATGTGTCCATTTTTCTTTGCTTTCAAAAGTTCTGATTTTATCATTGGGGCTTTTAAAAGGTGGATGTAGATCAATTTTCACAAAGATATCAATAGTTGGAGGCCAGAATCCAGCCTCCTGGCGATTAGCCACAATGGTCAGTAAATTTTAACGAGCAGAAGTCCATGTTCTTATTATCACAGGATGCTGATGAAGAACCCCAGCGACCGACCGGGCCATCCCTCAGCATTGGCAGAGTGTCGTCCTCATTTTGTTTTTCTTCACAAAACTTGGGAGATTGGTGCACACGTGAATATTGAAGGCTTTGTTTTCACGGAGATTGACATCTGTTTTTAACATGCCTTTTTTTCTGTAACGAAAGATGAACTCGAATAGCTTAGGTGTTTGGCGGGTGCCTCATGCTTTTGAAACAATCTTCTTTTATTTCATTTCTTGGAGATATCAAAAATGTATTAAATGACAATGAAGGTGTTTAAAAAGGTAAACTATTTAATTGACTTCAGTAAATAAAATCAAGCTGAGACATTTTTCTCTATTTCAAATAAGAATTATCCACAGGATGATAGATGAGAGGGAATTCTATTTCTCACTGGACACGATCACAAAACTGAAGTTACAACATTTTCGGAGCTAATAAAAATGGCAGAGGTAATGATTTGTTTGTAATCAGTAAATGCTTTTGAGTTATATGAACTGTATAGTTCATATAGTTACACGATTTCAAATGTTTCATTTTGTATGCAATCTAGGTATGAGTTACTTTCACTATCAGCTCATTAGTCAAGAAAATAGAGTCACAAGAAATTTAATAAACTGAAATATTGTAAAATATAGCGGCTTGATGAAAGTTCATAAATCATTAGACAACACTGCCTCTTTTGCTTTCCCACTGCTTCCTTCATGGGCATTTTATCTTTCCTGTACTTTTGTGAAAGAGAGGGCAGAATGTTCTTAATTCTGGGCAAAATCTTTTCACCATCAGTGTCTACCTTTGTCACTGATTGTTTATTAGCTTAATTTTTTAAAGGTCTGCTATTATAGATTCACATGGGAACAGAGACCCCATTCTTCTTTTCATAGTGGAGTAGAGAACTACTTTAGTCTCTATTTCTTTGCCAGAGAGGCCTATTCCTGCGTTGGATGACTTATGTGGTGGGGAGCTTACACTCTGTAGAGTCACTGTGCAGGGAAAGAAAGATTTGCCTTCTTGTTATGTGCCTGAGGACACCAAAACCACCCCTTTCCAAGTATGAATGAGCCCTGAGCACAACAGAGGCCTTGCCACTACAAGCCACAGGATTCTGGTAGCAGAAAAAACCATATTCAGAGTACCTATTTATATTTCAGTTTTAAAGTAAAGACCTAAATTCCTCCAAATCTTCTTGTTTTACTACACCTAGAAATATGAACAAAATGTGAAAAAACAACTTTTGAATCAATAGGTGAACTTCCAGAGAGGAAAAAAAATTGGGATGGAGAAAAAGGAAGTGGGAGCTAAGATCAGGAAGGTACGTGAGCAGAAAACTCTGGACGTCCTGGAGGTCTGTGTGAGTGTGACTAGATGTGACTAGATGTGACTAGAGTCTCTAATGCAGAGAAGCTAGAGGCAGAATGCAGACATGTGCAGGCAGGAAGTGGTTCTCACAATTGCACACGTGTGGGGGTGCTAGAGCCTCTGCCCTCACGCAAAAGGTGAACTAGAATTTAAACATAGGAAACAACAAACTGGAAAGCTTCTTGCAGACGGTGGGGAGAGCTGGCAAGTTCCCTGTCTCTGCTGTGTTTCTGTGAGCCAAGATGAAAAATCCCTGAGGATTCATGGCCTCTGGCTGGTCCTGTCTTGGGAACGGGGCCTGAGTCTACACTCTTAGTTTGGTCCTGTGATCTGCACAGGAACTCTTGCTGGATCTATGTGCTCAACTTTGTCAGTCATCAAGGAAATACAAACGAAAACCACAATGACACCCACCTGAATGAATAAAATGAAAAAGGCAGAAGTTACCAAGTTGTGGTGAGGCTGTAATGTGCCTGGGACTCTTATTTACTGGTGGTTGGAAAATTGTTTTGACATTTACATATACTGTGTGGTTCAGCAATTCCATTTCCAGGTATCTGGTCAACAGAAATTCATACATGTGTTTATTAAAAGACGTGGGGTAGAATAAGAATGTTCACAGTAGCCTTATTTGTAGCATCCCCCAAGTGGAATGAGCACTGCAGCAGAATAGAGAAGTAAATAGATCAGTAAATAGATATGTATATATTAACACAATTGAAATCTATACATCACTGAAAATGAACAAATTATTGCTGTGTACAATAACACAGTTGAAGCTCAGAAACATAGTGCAGAGTGATGGAAAAAAGCAGACACAAAAGAATATCTACTAGTGATTAAAAAGTAGGTAAAGTTAATCTACTCTGTCAGAAATCAGAGCAGTGGTCCGTTTATTAAAGGCTTTCTATGTGCTAGGCACCCTTTAAAATGGCATGCATATTTGTTATAACTTAGGTGTTACTACTGTTCTGAGCCATTTATTATAACCTTGTATTACAAATAAAGAATTGAGCCACATATTAAGCCATTACCTGGAAATACCTATTTAATCATGGGTGGAACTTGGCCACGATCCTAGGTTGGAATGCTAAATAAAGCTTCTTGGCTGTTAACTATTTTGCCTTCTACTTTTTACATAAAAATGCCTTAGAAAGGGCACCTGGGTGGCTCAGTGGGTTAAGCCGCTGCCTTTGGCTCAGGTCATGATCTCAGGGTCCTGGGATTGAGTCCCACATTGGGCTTTCTGCTCAGCGGGGAGCCTGCTTCCCCCCCACTTCCCTCTACCGGCCTGTCTGCCTACTTGTGATCTCTCTCTCTCTGTCAAATAAATAAAAAAAATCTTTAGAAAAAAAAATGCCTTAGAAAGCTGAGGTGTTTTTGCAGCAAAGTAGACCAGTTTTGTTGAGAAAGAAAATAATTATTTTCTATTTTCCACTAAAATAGTAGTACCAATAGATTAATACAAGTCTTCTCACCATAATAACAGATCTAATTAAAGAAAATAATTTGTGAATAATCATTTCTGTAAATTGGATAGAAGATGACCACAGGTTTTCTAGAACACATCACTTTCACGTTGTCTGTTAGACTATACAGGCTTCAAATAAACTTGTAAAAATCATCATCTCACATCGTGTCCTCCCACTTAGTAACAATGTGTTGTTATGTGCCCACTGATTCCTTTTCTATAATGGATAATGTATTAGATTTACTAAGACAGGCTCTAATTTTTCCTGTACTTGATTTGAGAACTAGATGGCTAAAAGGAACATTTATCCTGCTACCATACTCAAAACAATCTCCCAGTTCTTAAGAGTCATGAAGCTGAGCTTCGAAGGGTCTATTTTGTTGAGTTCGGGAATCCTCTGTGATTTATTTCAAAGCTGAAATTAAGTATCTTTCAGCACTCATAATGTGGTAAGGAAGAAAACGTAGTGAAGACCGATTGAGATTGATGTATATGTAACATGATATGTTTGCATGGTTGCAAAAATCATGTGGAGTTGAAGTCTGCATCTGTCTTGTCAGTTCAGATGCAAGAGCGAACCCTAGAACCATAGAAGGGTGCCTGGGTGGCTCAGGGTCCTGGGATCAAGCCCCCATCAGGCTCACTGCTCAGCTGGGAGTCTATTTTGGCTGCTCAGTGGGGAGTTTGCTTCTCCCTCTCCCTTGCCCTTCCCTCGCTCACACACTTCCTCTCCCTCTCTCTCTCTCATTCATTCTCTCTCTGAAGTAAATACATAAAATCTTAAAAAAAAAAATGAACTCTAGAGGTTATACCACTTGCAGGCATGGCTGGACTGGCCAGAGAACCTGTAGGAATGCAATCCCACTGGCTTACACGTAGTTAATCGGCACTACCTTAAAGATATAAGTACTTTATGTACCTAATGAAATCTGTAACAGAAGAATTAAAGATATTTTTCAGAACCTAAGTCTCCTGAGATGGAAAAGAACTTCAGGAGGCCAGCTGGAGCAGGATCAGAGTACCTATTAACATGACCTCATGGGCCTCCTCTCAATAGTGTCCACCTTTGGGGTGCCTGGGTGGCTCAGTGGTTAAGCATCTGCCTTCAGCTCAGGTCATGATCTCAGGGTCCTGGGATCGAGCCCCACACTGGGGTCCCTGCTCAGCAGGGAGGTTGCTTCTCCTTCTCCCTTTCCTTCCCCTACACACTCTCTCTCTTCTAAATAAATTAATAAATTCTTATAAAAAACAAAAACAAAAACAGCATCTGCCTTCTCAGGAGACCTTTGGTAGCATGATCTCATGGGCCTCCGCTCAGTGATGTCCGCTTCCTCAAAGACACTTGACCCAAATTTTGCCCTTCAGAGCCCTCACTTGCAAGCCATCGGGCAGTTCAGGACTCTAGAAAATGAGCTTTCCATTCTCCTGGGTGGTACCACACCAATACCTAGCCTATCTTTCTTCACTGCAGAAGCTCCATGACAGTTTTAATTGGCTTGCTGCACATTAGGTGGACAAACCCTTGTTTGATTTGGTTGTGGAGTGTCACAGTAAACATTTAAATGTCAGGAAAAAAAAAAGAAGTCAGGTAACGGTTGCCTTGGGGGAGCGGCCGGGTAATGACTGGAAGAGGGCATGAGGGGAACTTCTGAGAATTTGCCATGTTCTGGTTTTGTTCTGAGTGTTGATTCCATGAACGTGTTCAGTTTGTAGACATTCATCAAGCTGTACACTTAGGACACGTGCATGTTTCTGCATGTATTGTTATCCTGCAATTAAAAGTTAGAAAGTGGAATCAAAGGCTCTGTGCGATGAGCTTGAAAGAATCTTGAGAGCCAAACAGCATCTATATTACCTGCAGCAGAGCACACAGACCTTCTTAAGAACCGATACCATTTTACTTCTTTTCTCATATATAAACATAATTCATGGAAACCAAAGCAAACCATAAATCATTTAAGCAAGATGAAAGTGAATCCGCCAAAAATGAGAGTTTGCTATATGAAAAAACAAATATCCTAGGCACCTGGAAAAAGTAAATAGAAATCATCCCTTGAGGGACCTTCTCCCCCTCTAGGCTTCGAAGAACTCTCTCAGAAGGAATGGGTGGTTGCCAGAAGGGAGGGGGCACAAGGGTGAGCAAGTTGGGTGAAGGGGAGTGAGAGACACAGGTTTCCAGTTGTGGAATGAATAAGTCACGGGGATGAACGGTACAGCATAGAGACCAGAGCTAGTGTTACTGTGAGAGCGTTGTGTGGTGGTGACAGAGGGCAGCTGTACTTGTGGTGAGCATAGAGTAAGGTCTAGAGTTATCGAATCACTATGTTGTCCACCTGAAAATAATGTAATATTGTGTGTCAACTCTATTTCAGTAGAAAATATTAAATAAAAAGAATCCCCTCAGATAAGACTTTTAACAAATATGAACTCATGAAAACACACACACACACACATACACACACATACATTAACCACTATGCCTGAGAGTCATAAAAAATGAGGAAAGTGAGTAGCAGATCCACAAAAGCTTTAGAATAAAATTAATAGATTTACAGCACAAAATAATTATGTTAAAAAGAAATAAAGGAAGGGCGCCTGGGTAGCTCAGTTGGTCAAGCATCTGCTGTAGCTCAGGTAGCTCCAGGGTACTGGGATCGAGCCCTGCTCAGCGGGGAGCCTGCTTCTTCCTCTGCTTCTGACCCTTCCCACCCTTCTCATTCCCTCTCCCCCTCTCTCTCTCAAATAAATACAAAAAAACTTTTGAAAAAATAAGAAATAAAGTAAGGAATTTAAACTCATGAGCAAGGAACAAGAGACTATAAAAGACGAATTGGCATATTTTTAATAAGATCGAAATAAATTTTTCAAAAATAAAATATGTAATAATTTAAATTTTAAAAAATCAACACAGGGACTAACCCACTGATGAGCTTTAGCTGAAGAGGAAATTAATATACTGCAAGGCAGATCTAAGGAAATAATAAATTATCAGAGTGTTAAAGAGATGGGAAAAAACAAAAAGCCATGAAGAATCAAGCAAACACGTCTGCATATATTTAACTGGAATTCCATAAGGGACAGAAGAGAGAAAATAGGGAATGTCTGCAAAGATAATGACTTGACAGCTGTCTAGGACTGATGAAGGACATGGAATCCTCAGATTTATGAAACCCAGCAAATCCCAACAAGGATTAAAAACAAAGATGGAAATCGACATCTGCTTAGACACACTGCAATGAAGCTGCTGATTCAAGACAAAGAAAAAATGACCAGAGAGAAAAAAAGGACAATTTAAGATAAACCACCACTGAGAAAATTGACCCCCAAAATCCTCATTAAAGAGACCTAAAGGATAAAAGTGCAGAAGGAAAATGACACTAGAAAAAAGTCTGAGTGACGGAGGATGGAACTCTGCTCTGATGGTTGCACAGGGTCCCACCTATCACTAGGCTCATTTGTCTGGGAAGAACACCTCCGCCATGAAAACTTCCTTCCTTGGGACCAGGATCCTGGCAGGTCAGGGCAGGGGTGGGAGAGGACTGGCAGTGGGTACCCCTTCTTTCTCTATTCATCTTAAGAAGTATTCATCTTTTCTCTTAAGGAAGAAAAAAGATGGATAAATGGCAAACATAATTTTAGGAGGATTTGTAAAATTCTCAATGGACTGAGTTTCTTCCTCTGTAAAAATGTTTCCGCTTTGACTAAAACCACCACAAGATCAAATAGTTTGATGAAGCAGAATCAGAGTGTCTTCTCTGTGGGATAACAGAAGCAGTGGTTATGAGGCTCTCATTAGGCGTGTGGCTCCGGAGACTTTTTGAAAGGCTCTCACACAGCCCTTGGGGGATTTATGACCCTGGTGTTTCTTCTCTAAGTTTCAATCTTCATAGGTAAGATTAACACCCACTTTATAGAGTTATTGTGACAATAAAATGAGAACACACATAACGTTCCTGGAACATGGGAGACCTTCATTATGTATTAGATGATAGTACTGTTTGAATGACCCACTGCTAGTCTGTGGGTGTCCTTGTGCTGTCCCCAACATGTCCTGAGTGGAGGTCATCTTTTGTCATCTGCCTAGAGCATAGTAGAGACACCAGGAGCACTCAGAGTATAATTTGTATAGCAACGTTTCAAATATGATACCAAGCTCTGCAGATAATAGTTGTTGAATTAATGTGGGTGAATCTGAGATTTTTTTTTCTTCTGAGATTTTATTTTATTTTTTTAAAGATTTTATTTATTTATTTGACACAGAGAGGGAGAGGTCACAAGTAGGCAGAGAGGCAGGCAGAGGGAGAGGGGGAAGCAGGCTCCCTGCTGAGCAGAGAGCCCGATGCAGGGCTCTATCCCTGGACCGTGGGATCATGACCTGAGCCAAAGGCAGAGGATTAACCCACTGAGCCACCCAGGTGCCCTGCTTCTGAGATTTTAATGGAATACATGGTTCTTATTATTTATACCTCTTTTCAGATATCATTTTACTACTTTAATACAATTTTGACAAAATTGTTTTTAGAACCAGTGCTGAGAAATTTGGATAAGTTTCTAATTTTGACTTCAATTTTTACCAAATTCCAGAAGGAGATAATCCCCAGTGTATTAAAATATATCTATTATTAACCAGCTCCTCAAATAGTACAAATCATTGATGACAATGTTTTTCTACACGTTATAGGAAACACTTCCTGACCTTCATTGATTGGTTTAATAGCTGCTTATTAAGACTATTTTGTGCCAGATACTGATAGCCACTTGTTAAGTAAAAATTATGACTTAGTACTTATTAACACTGGAAATCCTATTTCCAAATTTCACATTATTTCTGATGACATAGAAAGTATCACAAGCCCATCGTACCAACCAGGAAATGGTGCGGGATGGTTCTACAGCTGGGAGCTGGTAGACTGTTTCACAAACCCTTAATTCAGTTTGCCAATATGATGCTTCCTGAAAAGAGAATGAAGCATAAATATTCCACTCTTGTATATCGGTAGATTTACCTATTTCTAAACAGCAATTTTGACATCCTTTTACCCCTGCCCAGAGAAGAGGAAACCACGTGTCAATCTCATTTCTCTCTCTCATAAAGTTCTGCTTCATCGCATTCATTAGCCTAAATTCGATTAAAGGGTTGTGAACATTACTAATGATCATGTCAAAGTATGTTATCTAATAAAAATCTTATTTTATTGTTTAATCTTACACTTACCCATGTTTCTTGGGGTGACAATCTTGTCCACCGAGGAGCTGGATAGATCTGCTTGCACCGAGATGAGAAACTAACCCTAGCGAGGGGACAGGAAATTGCATTCATATTTCATCACTAAAGAGGAAGCAGCCTCTTAATGAAGATTTACATTATCCGAGTTTGAATAAAAGAAGTCTCTTAAATATTTTAAAAGATGTTTTTGTTTATTAGTTACGGTAGAATAATTTTTATGATTCACTTTCCTCTTTGCATCTCAATCACAATGTATACTGATATATGTGTTTAGGTAATAGAAAATGTGCTAGAATTTCATGTAATCCCTCACTCACTCATTCATATATTCTGTCTGCACATATATCTATTATACTTTTGGGCGTTGTGCTGAGGGTGATGGAGGATCTGGCTGTGGGGCACGAGGACCTCATCACCCAGTGAGAGAAAGGCATGTTCAGTAATAACCGTAATACAAGGGCAAAAAAAGATAAGTACTCTAAGAGATGTCCAAAAAAGAAAGAAGAAAGAAAGGATGAATCACTGAATGTGTGACGTAGGAGAGGAGGGTCTACTTGGATTCAGCGGGATGAACTTCCTGGGAGAAAAGGAGCTGGGGAAGAATTGATGTTGGGTGTGTAATGAGCACGTTTCCTTGCTTAATGGTGGCAACTTTGTGAAGACTTTTTCTCTTCCTTCCCTCCTTCCCTCCTTCCTTCCTTCCTTCCTCTTTCTCTCTCTCTCTCTCCCTTTCTTTCTTCCTTCTTTCTTTCTTTCTTTCTTTCTTTCTTTCTTTCTTTCTTTCTCTTTCTTTCTTTCTTTCTTTCTTTCTTTCTTTCTTTCTTTCTTTCTTTCTTTCTTTCTTTTTTCTTTCCTCTTTCTTTCTCCCTTCCTTCTTTTCTCTCTCTCCCTCCCTCCCTCCCTCTTCCTTTCTTCCTCGCTCCCTCTTCCTTCCTTCCTCCCTCCCTCCCCCTTCCTTCCTTCCTGCCTTCCTTCCTTCCTTCTTCTTCCTTTCTCCCTTTCTTTCTTCTCTCTTGACGAGAAGGATTAGCTACATAGTATTTATTTGTAGACCATTTTCTCCTTTCATTGCCCTCTCAGAATAGAAATCAGAGATTGTTAAAAACCATGCTACAACCAGTTGACCTAATGGCTTAGACAAATCAATAATTCTTTAAAACTTGAAAATTTATTTGAGAAAGACAGGATTGTTTTAATAAAAACTTGTGTAGTACTTTAACATGCTGACCTTTGCTGGCAAATCTATAAATAGTTTAATATGAGGTGAAATTAACTCCTAGAACTTCTGAGACATAAAAAAGTCAGAGATGTCACATTTGAACCTGGCCCTCGTAAACTTTTATTACAAAGGAAGGGAAAACATTATCAGGACAAATTAATGTGGGTTGGATACATTTGATTTAAATTGAAAAGCTGTAATCAGGACAATCTGAGTCTGTTTTTGTAAAAGGACATCAGAGGATGTTGTTGGTAGGGTTTTTGTTTGTTTGTTTGTTTTGTTGGTTTTTTTTTTTTAATTTCCACACAAAAGTAGCAAAGATGATCTAGTGATAGAACCAAGACTTTTAATCTTGGAGTTATTCAGGACATAACACAAATGTAACAGATTTTCTCTACTTCCTTTGCAGGTTTCTCATGGAGGATACTGTAAGTAAGAATGCATATTTATAAAGTACATGAGAGTTTGCAAAGTAATTTAGCATACAGTAACTTAAAAATTTAGAATACTTTATATTTTTCTTGAATAATGAAAAATTTAAGTATAATATGGAAAACTGATAATAAAACCCTTAAGACTTTATAAAATTGAAATACTGATACCATTTTCCTTGTGATTCTAATCCAAAATTCTTATTTTTGCTTGGTTTTGTATATCCATGTATCTGTGCTTTGCTATTTCATGACTCTCACAATCTCTTATTTTGCCTAAATGCTATACTTCTGCTAGGGGAAAGGTATATTCATATCCATAATCAAAATACTTGTGAATTTTACTCTTCAGGAAGAAAAAAAAGGACATAGTTACAAGGCACAAGAAGCACAATCAAACTTTCAATTTTGATTAAAAAGGAGAAAAACCTCTGCACTCACCTATGCTAAAACTTGGCCAATTCTACACCATAAGACATTTAACATTCTATAGTAAATTTTTTTTAAAGATTTTATTTATTTATTTGAGAAACAGAAAGAACAAGCATTGGGGGGGGGTGTTGTACACAGGAGAAGGGAGAAGCAGACTTCCCGCTGAGCAGGGACCGCCTGAGATCCCAGGACCGCAAGATCATGACCCAAGCCCAAGGCAGACGCTTAACCGACTGAGCTACCCAGGTGCCCCAGTAAATTTCCTTCTCATGTAGTCTAGAATATACATCAATACCGTATTTTCCACCATAGGGCTACCTACCAAACAGCTGGACATTTCAGGGCATTGAGCCTCTGTGATATTTTTAACAGCTCCATGGTGAGAAAAAGCCACCTCGTAACTATTCAGAGCACTGCCTGAAGGAGCTGATGTGCCAGCTATTTGCTCTTCTGAGGCCAGCACTGGCCAGTGGCAGGGCACTTGGTCCACCCACAGGGAAAAGGGAAGAGCATGTGGTTCTGCCCAGTTCCAACTTCTTCATGGGGCAGGCAGTGCAACCTGCTGATGGAGGGGCCTCTGCGAGGCCATGTGGCCTGTTCAGTGCAATTTCACTAGCGAAAGCAGCTAGCAGACACAGCAGGGTGTGTTCTGAAATACTGACCTATGTCCTTGTCCCACCCCGACCCAATGCAATTAGCTATTTTGCATATCTTGTGTCAGAAGAGGAATTCTTTTTTTTTTTTTTAAGAGTTTATTTATTTTTGACAGACAGAGATCACAAGTAGGCAGAGAGGCAGGCAGAGAGAGAGAGAGGAGGAAGCAGGCTCCCTACTGAGCAGAAAGCCTGCCGTGGGGCTCAATCCCAGGACCCTGAGATCATGACCTGAGCCGAAGGCAGAGGCTTAACCCACTGAGCCACCCAGGCACCCCAGAAGAGGAATTCTTGGCAGAAAAGTAGATGGGTCGATGGGAAGGAGAAGATAATCCTTGGGTTTGAGATTCAAAACATTTCTGTGGTGTAGGAGAGTGGAAATTACTGAAGCACAGAATCTGCTGAGGAGTGTACCTGCGGAGACAAAGCAGAGCTTCCCGCCCCCAGGAGCAGAAAAAGGGTTTTCCTCTCAGGGTGGTGAGAGAGGAAGTTATGAGAGCTCAGATGCCACATCTGAGACAGGGCTTGGCATCCTGACTGCTTGCACCTCCCCATCCCAGAAAGCCCTGTGGGGAGGTGAGGTGGCAGTTACGCTAGATGAGATGTCGGATCTGGGGAGGAGGGGAAACCTGTGGCTCAGGTCCAGGGTGAAGTCTGGGTGGTCAGACTCAAGGGTGTGGGGGAGAGGCAGGAGACAGCCTCAGCAAGATCCCCTGTGCCTAGCACAGCACAGGGGGAGTAGAATCATTTCTGGAAGGCCACAGAGGGCACACAGAAGTGACAGAGGGCCTCAGCGCATGTTACGGTGCTGCCAGTGGTCTGGTGTTGTCACATGAGCTGCCTTGCAACCATTGATGAGAAACAGGTAGGGTGAGTCCTGTAGAGGCTAATGACTGAAGACCCGAGGGAGTGAGGGAGGGCATCTCAGGAGAGGCCAGCTTTGATAGAGGGTCAGCTTGAGATCCAAGGATTGAGCTACTACCCTCCAGCATTGAAGACATGAAAACTTCCCAGATCTTTTCTTTTTTTTTTTTCTATTTTATTTATTTATTTTAAAAATATTTTTACCTTTTGCCCCTACATTATGCATTTACATTTTTTTTCAAGTTTATTTTATTTTTTAGTAATCTCTACACCCAACATGGGTCTTGAATCACAACCCTGAGATGAAGAGTCATATGTTCTTCCAATTGAGCCAGCCAGGTACCTGGCTATTTTCATTTTCTTTTATTTATTTTTCTTTTCTTTCTTTTTAAAATTTAAATTCAATTAGCCAACATATAGTACATTAGTTTCAGAGGTAGAGTTCAATAGTACATCAGTTGAATATAACACCCAGTGCTCATCACATCACATGCCCTCCTTAATGTCCTTCACCCAGTTATCACATCCCCCTACCCCTCTCCCCTCCAGCAACCCTCAGTTTGTTTTCTATGGTTAAGAGTGTCTCATGGTTTGTCTCCCTCTCTGATGACTTCCCATTCAGTTTTCCCTTTATTACCTTATGATCCTCTGCACTGTTTCTTAAATTCCCCATATGAGTGAGACAATATGATAATTGTCTTTCTCCTATTGACTTGTTTTGCTCAGCATAATACCCTCCAGTCCCATCCACATCAATGTAAATAGTAAGTATTCATCCTTTCTGATGGCTGAGTAATATTCCATTGTATATATAAACCACATGTTCCTTATCCACTCATCTGTCGATGGACATCTCAACTCCTTCCAGAGTTTGGTTATTGTGGACATTGCTGCTATAAATATTGGGGTGCATGTGCCCCTTGGGATCACTACATTTGTATCTTTGACAACTCCCTGGATCTTAGCTGGTGTTGTGGACTGAATTATGTCCTTCCATCCCTCTTCCAAAACTCACAGGCTGAACTCCTAACCCCCAGGACCTCAAAACGTGACTGCATTTGGAGATGGAGCCTTTAAAGAGGTGATTAAGTGAAAATGAAGGGCCCTAATCCAATATGACTGGTGTCCTTATCAGAAGAGGAGATTTGGACACATAGTGACACTGGGTTGCATGTGCACCCAGGAAAGACCATGTGAGGACCCAGGGAGAAGCTGGCCTCCTGTGACCCGTGGAGAGAAGCCTCAGTAGAAGCTCACCCTTCTAACACTTTGATGGTAGACTACATAGCCTCCAGAACTGTGAGAAAATTAATTTCTTTTGTTCATCCCACCAGTCTGGGGTACTTTGTTGTGGTAGCCCTAGCAGGCTAAGACAGGTGGGACCCAGAAGAAGGTGAGGTTGGACCCCGAATGAACTGCGATTAAGTTTCCACCACCTTGGC